AAGAAGATACTTCTTTTGATTTTAGAATCATTCAAAATACAGTATCCTACTCAAGATCCATGGGGTCAAAATCAAAATAAGATAAAGTAAAAGTCGAGATAACAAAATGAGAACGCCGGGAGAATGAGTAAGGCCACGCTGATCAAAGCTGGAGATCTTCAGACTGATAATGAATATAAGCGAAGGGAAAAAGAATGAAAACCTATAGAGAAATACATCAAGAATTGGTTAGCTGAACTTTGCTCGTTTTCTGTTTGAAATCACAAGTGGTGGCATTGACTGAGCAATCCGTTTACAACCTAGAATAAATTGAAAGAGATGTATAAGGTTGTTTGTAAGCTCTGGCACTAGAGCACTGAACATAAAATTTACTAATCAGAAGTAATTAAAATTGTATAGTTTTGGTATCATGGCGATTGTTTATTTTCTTGCAAGCAAATTCTCTTGCTATTCAAGCACAACTGGTTCGTAGGGGAAAATGCCTGTGAGCGGCGCATAAGATTAATCGAGCTTGGGGTGATGATACGGTTGCAGAAGTTACAGCTAGGAAGTGCTTAGAGGAGTTCCGAGCTGGAGAGGACAGTCCGGAGGATCAGTCGCGCTTAGGCCGTCTACAGAAAGTCCCATTAATCTTGCGCGCTGTCTCATTACCATTTTACCCTATGAGCCGTTCGTGCACGAGTAGCTAGCGAATTTGTTCCGAGTACAACTATATCTTTGAACAGGTATAGACAAGTTGTATACCAAAATGTTCGCCAGAGAATGCGCAACTGATCGTTACCAAAATCATGCATTTCTAATTATTTCTGTTTAAACAAATTTGACAAATAAACAATGAGAAAACTGGAAGGATAATGACAGACAAGGAAAACTATGAGGGGAATCCTTCTGGAAATAGTCTAAATCACAATCAAAACAGTGAAGAGGTAAAAGAAAGAACAATGAGAACTCGAGGAACATCAATTTCCAACGTGCCTTTTCGTGTCATTTCAGAAAGTTTTGCATCGTTCTAATGGTATGTTTTCATCATTGACGATCTCCATTTTGTCATCCATCAGAACATTTAGTCCTAAATACAAAAAATCCCAAGAGCTGCATTATGTTCATGATTTTCTTACATTTTCTATGAGAAATTGATTAACAATACATTCTTGATGGGATAGATAGGTGATTTGAAATCTATATCCCTTTGCGTACGAGAAGGGCTACTTGGACCCTCACATTTCCAGATTTTTTTTTCACTGAACAAGATTTGAAAAAAATGAGGGAGATTATTGGAAAGCTTAAATCTCGAGGATTTCGATAAATCACTTCGTTTTCAAAAAAACCTTTGTAATACGCTGTACCAGCAAGACTAAAATTTTGTTTCACACTCGGTTTACTTTACTTGCTCAGCTAAACTCTGTGGGACCGAATGTTACTGAAGTACCACTAAACTCATTCGATAGCCCGAATCTTGGTGGACTTGAAGCTTTAGTCGGTTTTCGAAAAGGTTTTCATAGGGCACTTTGACAGCGAAGATAATACAACATTTCACATTCGGAGTTTTCTTCACACATAAGAGTTATATATGCACAAAAAATATACAAGCTCAACGGAAGAATTATGTTCTATCAGTATGGGTACAAAGAAACTGAGGTAATTTCTCAAAACAACAGAAAAAAATCCTGTCTTTTTTATCGAGTGTTTTCTTAAGACCACAGCTCAAATTGTCAATATGCCTGGTAATCGTTATTTGAGCCACGGCATGTCAGTGGTCTGTTAATGAGGGCTGACTTATAGAGTCCTATACACTCTCTTGCAATGAATGAACTGAACACACGTTAAGAACGATAATATCTTGGTTGCCTACAAGATTGTGAGAAGAATCTTCTCGACCAGAATTCTATAGCTTTTTATCAAGAAGCCAGAAATCCTCATGCAGCAAGCCGAAGTAACACGTGAGCTGTTCGGAGACCTTTGTGGAGGACGAATGCCGGAGAAGCCAACCGAACGCCATATGTGCATGGGTTCAGCACACTCAAACTGTGATGAACGCGGGACGTACCAAAGAAAAAAAAACCTGACAACCTCTTTCGAAATTCGTCTATGAGGCCTTCAAAAAATTCAATTCCACAAGCATTGTAAGGAAGGAAAAAATAGCTCAATAGGTGCATTGCGCCATTCTAAACCCTACTGAAATACCTCATGTTCACTGATCAGAAAGAGACTTCCCATACCTAAGACTTTGCAGTTGGGAACGCCTTCCAGGTCTCAGCAGTTAACGCCCGGGATACCGCTGGACTCGTGTGTGAAACACACCCGAGCTTTATGAAATTACTAAACATACGTCTCATCATGTTAGGCATGAAAGTCCAGGAGAAAATATTCCGGAAAGGATAGAATGCGGGCTCGATTCCCGTCTGAAGTCAAAATATTTGGCACATTATTCATCATTATTTGGGTATATTTGTAAGATCAAACCACCGCTAGAGGGCCGTTAAATCAAACGAAATCCTTGTTGGTCGCAATTTATCCCAGTATTATAAAATTTTTTCTATTTAAACCGCTTTCAGCGGTGGTTATGATGTTATAGATTTTACCCGGTGATGTAGAGTGATATTGCGGCACTATCGGTCGGGCGGGACTGGAACTCGCATCCCACTTTATCCGGTAGCGCGTGCTCTAAACCTGTTGCACTACTGACGATCCATGTGGGCATACACTCTCTCTACGCTAAAGCGCATCTATCTGTCACCAGATAACCGTCAACGGTTTGGCCCAGGTAGGTCGGTACTGACATTGAACCCAATCACGCCGACAGATATTGGGCATTGGATAATCTTGACTGATAACCAATATATGTCCAGCGTGACTGAGCCCAATATCGATACGCACTTGTCCAGATCAAACCGTTAACTGTTGGTTGGCTGACATATTGATGTGTTGTAGAGTAGAAAGAGCTATGGCGAAAGAGGCGTCAGTAGTTGTAATTGGGTGAGCATGCGCCTCCAGAAAGGGTGAAAACAGCAGGTTCACTTCCCGTTATGACGTCAAGGTTTTGTTACATCACCCAACATTGTTGGGTGAAATGATAACATGTTTGAGCCTGTTATGAGGTCTGTTACGAGACTTATACAGTGCTAGACAGGCGCCTGTTTCGCCTTCCAGACACCTCGTAGCACACTGCCCTTCAGTTCAGCCAAATTCTCCATTGTAGGAAGATATATGCCCCTACTTATAAAGGAATCAGCGCCGAAATATTCAGATCATCGCATGTAGAATGATCAGTTCACCCGACTACTGGCAGTGACCAACACGTCGGGTGCTCCATGGCTAGTAGATTGAATGTTATCATCTTACCAGATTATCGTGGTTTTGAGTGAGATCTACATGTACAATCGAGGAGTGGGAATCATTGTGCAGTGACATCCATACTACCGCTAAAAGCGGTTAAAGGATAAGGATAAAGCTCTCGGCGTTGTTCAATCCCTGAGGGATGCGCCATGCATTCGACTTCAATTTTTTTAACTTCGTTTGAGGTGAATGAATGCACATCTGGCCTTTACAATGACTCGCGGTGGCTCTCCCGCTGAACCGAGTTAGTAATTGCTTATCCTCCAGACAAGTCTGAGACCTGTCTGGTACCCAATTTACCGAGCCCGGAGGGATGGATGGCTTGGTGAGCCATGAGCTCGAGATCGAACCAGTGACCTCGTGTGCGACGCATGGCACCTCTAACCATTGCGCCACATGCGCTCTAAAAGCGGTTAAATAAGAGAAATTTCGAAGAAGTGATGGTTTTTTCAACTTTTCTTCTGAGGCAGATTGCAGGGATTCAAGCACAAATACTACACCAAATTCTAATCATTAGCGTTTTTTGATTGCAGAAAACTGGACAGAACGCAACACCTCAGTTACATCCTTTCCAAGCCCTAGGAAGTGCTGACGCAAAATAGTGACTACGTAATGCCGCAGAGTCTATTTTTCTGCAGCCTAATCCGTAGAATCTTACTTCCAGTAGTCGGCCACCTAATCCCAGAAATGGAGATAGCAAAGCAGAACAAGGAATTGATCATTCTTCCAAGTCTAGGCGGACTTCATGTACTTTACGTGACTGATCTTAAGCGACAGTGGTAATCACATCCCTTTGCCCTCACGTCCTAAGTCTTTGTTCTCTCCCAGAACCGACGATTCGAGTCGATTGTTCACAGCTGTTCGTCTTCGATTCTAAAGATTCGGTTCAATCGCACAACAAAGAAGAACACCACAGCGAGAGGACGAGCGACTATGCACAACTGACTCGATTGACCGGCTGTGAAGAAGATAAAAAACGTCAAAATGTTATCGGGATAAAAGTTTGTGATACTAATCTCCCATCAGCTCAATAATGCAAAAAAATCATTGATTATTCTTACGAAGTTGCTTGCAGTAGATCCCCAAGATTTGGAGTTTGTTACTAAAAACTTTTCTATACCTATTACTCCTCACGTTGATAGGGATACCACATGGTATAAAATTACTCGGTAATGGTAAACACAAAAAACAACGTTCACTACAAGACTAGATGATAACTGATGAGCAATCCGTTCCAAAAATACTTACAAGAATATAGTCTGTGGGATTGTTTGCAGCCTTTTAGATATTAGTACCCCAGAGCCATTCGCACTTTTCGGCGGTATCGCCTGCTTCATCAGTAGCCCACGCCCGAAACTGAACCTACTTTATAGCAGGTATGGAGAGACGTATTCATAGCGATAGCACATGAAATCGTGTTATCGCCACTTTCTTTCATTCGATGGACTACGCCTGGTAGTGAATAGGAAGAATTAATATCATCGATTGTTTTTAAACCTCGCTTTTGAACATTCATCATAGTCTTTGAGAATGTTTAGAGCGTCTTGAGTGATGAGCAAAAATCGAGATTACAAAGCGAAATCGCACATCCGACCAAACCTGTTGAAGGTTGATGGCTGGCAGCTAACATAGAGATGTTGAAAAATGAGAGGTGATGCAAATGCACCTCTGTGGTGTAGTGGTAGCATGCGTCCGCGGTATGGATTGAAACGCTGGTTCGACTCCCGTCTGAGGCCATATTTTCGTTCACAACTCAATTCACTTAGGTATATATCAAACATCATAACACTGCGAAAAAAAGCAGTAAAAATGCCAGAATTCTCAAAGGTTTAGGACCTTTTCTCCTTTTCGTGGTTAGTACGTCAAAGCCATACCTACGTTTCGGCGGGTCCCTGCTATAAAGTAGGGCACAGTGTGGGGCGACCATAATACTAACGTTAGAAACGGCTAAAATGAAAAGAAATTCTCTTTGATCATTCTAATACCTCAATCCAACAAGTAGTCTATTGTCAATTATTTGTGCAGTATCCTTGCGTAAACACCTCCAACTTTCCAATCTTTTTCAAATATTCCCGATCAGCAAAAAGGTTTTCACCGAGTTCCGCGAGTTCTTGGACACATATATAACTGTACACATATTTACTGCCTTCGAAGTATTCAATTGTTATTCGTTTTATTTGACCGCTTTTAGCGGTGATATGATGTTTTAAATATATACCAATTGATGTAGAGCAATGTACAAAACTTTCGCGTCAACCGGGACTAGAACCCGCACCTCATTCTTTCCGGGAATGCGTGCTCTGTTCGTTACACTAACGACGCCCATTTTACACATCGCTCTTTCTACGCTTCAGCCCACTTACCTGCCACGTAACTGGGTTCAATGTCGAGACCGACTACCCGGGCCAGGCCGTTGACGGTTGGCGGTT